TTAGGGTTTAGGGGTTTAGGGAGCTCCTACCCCCACTACTGTTGCTAAAGCCAGTACCAGCCTAGTAGTACTACTAGTGTTACTGCTGCTACTACTAACGGCCACCCCGTACCCCGAAAGCCTAAACGCAACGTGGTGTGGTGCACCCGACACTTGGAGGATCATGGGACTTAGTAAGTAAGGTTATAAGTAACCTAATTGGGATTATAATTATAGTTACCTTATTTATAACCCTAGTAACCCTAAACCCTAAACCCTAAACCTTAGACCCCTAATTCTTTATACCTTATTTATAACCCTAGTTACTAAGTCCCATGATCCTCCAAGCATTCCTTAACCTCGAAACCCGGCCCCCTGCAGCCTCTGCTTTCGAGCCTCCAGCCCCAGGTACCAACCGTGGATTCTCAAATCTTTTGCCCTCAGATCCGCACATCAAAGACTAAGCTCCGAAGCCCAAGACTCAAAAGATCTAGACCTCCGAACTTCAGCGACGTTCTTTGAATGGTCAGACTGGTGGCTTTGCACAAGCACCACAAAAGGCAAAGAGAGTACCAACTCTTCCAAGCTCCTGAGTTAAGAAATCTAGGGTTCTATAAGGGATCTAAGAAGGGCTCATTGGCCTCTTGAGGGTTTAGCCGAGGTGAGCTCCCTGAAGCGTCGACTTGTGTCAGGGTCTGCGCGAAGAGGCGACTGGGACCTTTCGGCGCAGCTTTTTGTGTTTGTGTCTTCAGGGGCTTTTCATCCGTTTTTCAGCACAGGTCGGAGTCTGTCTCTATCTCTCTGTTTCTCCCTCTGTCTCTATCCTTCTCTTTATTCCTGGCTGCCGTAGCTTTGCTTCGTGGGCTTCGGGACCGAATTCCTCCGCAGATCCCTCGAACCCCCAACTTCAAAGACCTCTTTACCCAGAAACGTCATCACATCTCTCAGACTCCTAAATACCCTAAACCCTAAACCCTAAACCCTAAACTCTAAACCCTAAACCCTAAACCCTATTGGGTTGGAGCCGACTGAATGCCGGACATCCAAAAAGGCCCTTAAAAAAACCCTAAACCCTAAACCCTAAACCCTAAACCCTAAACCCTAAACCTTAAACCCTAAACCCTAAACCCTAAATACCCGAGTTCGTTCCTGGCATCTCTTCAAAGCCCATGGTGTAGTCTTCTCCAAGTCGTCTCGTGCCCTACAACCCCCCACTTGGAGGATGATGGGACTTAGTAACTAGGGCTATAAATAAGGTAACTAGAATTAGGGGTCTAGGTTTTGGGGTTTAGGGTTTAGGGTTACTTGGGTTATAAATAAGGTAACTATAATTATAACCCCAAGTAGGATACTTATAACCTTACTTACCAAGTCCCATGATCCTCCAAGCAAGCCCAAAGAGCTCCGCAAGAACGGTAATCCTCGAAGTCGCTAGAACCCCCCAAACCCCTCAAACCCCGAAGCAACTCAAGTACTACCCTAAACCCTAAACCCTAAACCCTTGGAACGTGTTTAAAAAAACCCTTAAAGCCCGAAGCCCAAATCGCGAAAGACTTCCACAGTGTTTTCTGCCCGTGCCCAGGCCGGCGCCGGGCGCGGATGTGCCTGTGCAGCGCCGCCGGGCACGGGTGTTTAGGTGCTTAGGGTTACCTTGAGGTTAGGGTTTAGGGTTTAGGGTTTAGGGTTTAGGGTGCAGGGCTACTACATGGGTAGTTGGTCAAAATTATGGTCCCTTTTGGGGTACACTAAATAATAAGTGCCGTATTATAATAAGGACCCAAAAAGGGACCATAATTTTGACAACCACCCATATAGGAGCCCTTCAAGGAGCCCTTAAAGGAGCCCTTAAAGGACCCCTTAAAGGAACCCGAAAAAGGATGCTTTAAAGGAATTCATAAAGGCTCTCGCTGGAACTGTAAAGTTGGGGTGCTGCTGCGGCTAGGGTGTGCTGTTGGGGTGGGGAGCAGGGCTTTGAATATTATAGCTTCATGATTACCTATACTATTTTGGGGGCTCCTTATTATAAGTATGGTATAAGATACGTACACCACAAGCCCTATTCTAATCATAAAGGCCCCTACATCACGGGCTTTCCGGGTTTCGGGGGATTTAGGGCTTGAGGGCGAAAGGGCTTCTCGGATTTCATGGGGGGCTTTGGCGGGGTTGTGGCGGTGGCTTCAGAGTGGCTGGGGTGTAGAGGTTTGAGAGAAGGAATTTTGAGCTTTCGGGTTTCGGAATGCTAGGGCTAAACCCTAAACCCTAAACCCCTAAACCCCTAAACCCTAAACCCTAAACCCTAAACCCTAAACCCCTAAACCCCTAAACCCTAATGAAAGGGTTTCTTGACTTAGGACTTGTGAGCTTCCCGGCATTTCGGGGTTTTCTTCCGCGCCCTTCGAGCCCACAGTGCCCTCCTAAATCTGCAGACCCCCCAAAATCCGAAGTCTCTGAAGACGAAAATTCTACACCCTAAACCATAAACGAGTATGCTGTTGGGAGCCGGACGCCGGCATAACAAAGGTGCGTCACCCCAACTCTAAAAAAGCCTAACCTCCAAAGCCCTAAAACCCTGAAGCCCTAAATCCCAAAGCCCTTAGACGCCAAGCTATAAAAGAAGCTCGCTGCGTGCACCGAGGACGCGGCCGACAGATGCTCCGCATCGACGCAGAGCCGCCGGCCCTTGGGACGGAGGGTGAAAAGTGTTGGGGTTGTTGCAGTGTGCTCTACGGGTTTCTCAAAGTTTAGGGTTTAGGGGTTTAGGGTTTAGGGTTTAGGGTTTATAGACTGCTTCTTAACCCTAAACCCCTGAAGCCCGAACCTACAGCAGCCTCCTAAACCCTGAACCCTACACCCCTAACAGTATCTCAAGGGGTTCCGTAAGGTTCAGGGTTTAAGGTCCTTTAAGGTTCGTGTTAGAAGACTCATATCCGAGAAACACAGGGGCATCCCCTCAAACCCTGAGCCCGCGCCCACACTCACGCCGTCCTTACCCACAGACGACCCGAAATCACCCGCCAAAACATACATGATATAAGGGCCTTCATAATTAGAATAGGGTTTTGGGGGATCCTTGTTATGATAATAGTAGAACAGACTCCCAAGCCCTATTCTAATTGTTAGAACCTCATGAAAGAGCCGAAGAAGCCCTACACAAGTCTTCAGAAACCCGACTTCTCCCTAAGCTCGACACCCCAAAACCCCCAAGCAAAAGAGAACAACCTCAAACCCTACTAACCCTACTAAGGCCCTACAAACCCTTAAGCCCTAAACCCTAACTCCTATATAACCCCTAAGCCCTAAACCCTAAACCCTAACTCCTATGCAACCCCGGGGCCCTAAACACTAAATCCTAACTCCTATATAGCCCCTAACCCCAAAGCCCTAAACTCAAACTCCTATATGCCCTAAACCCTAGCTCCTACAAAACCCCTAAGCCCTAAACCCTACACCCTAACTCCTAGAAAACACCTAAGCCCTAAGCCCTAAACCCTAACTCCTATATAACCCTTATCTCCTATTTGGGCCCTAAGCCCTAAACCCTAAACCCAAATTCTTTTCTAAGCCCCAAGCTCTAAACCCTAAATCCTAACTCCTAAACCCTAAATCCTAAACCCTAAATCCTAAACCCTAAACCCTAAACCCTAAACCCTAAACCCCTAAACCCTAAATCCCAAAAGCTCCACCAGAAGAGATTGTTTTCCGAGGCTGCCCGGGCGCCAGCGGTGCCGCGTGCGCCCTCTGGCCTGCTCGGCCGGGTCTCCCGGGAACCTCGAAGACCCCAGGGGGCTCTGGGTAAACCCTAAACCGACGGAAGGCGGCCGGAACCGAGCCCTGAGCCTCTTTGACCTCGGCGCCGCAGCCGGCCGCGAGGCGCTGATAGGCGGCGGCCGGGATGGGGGAGAGAGACGGTTCTTGGGCTTGGGCTTAGGGTTTAGGGTTTAGGGTTTAGGGTTTAGGCTCTTGGGCTTAGGGTTTAGGGTTTCGGGGTTTATAGGGTTTCGGGGTTTATAGGGTTTAGGGTTTAGGGTTCAGGATTAGGGTTCAGGATTTAAGGTTTAGGGCTTAGGGTTTAGGGTTTGGAGAGACGGCTCTTGGGCTTAGGGTTTAAGGTTTCGGGGTTTATAGGGGTTTAGGGGGAGCGGTCTAGGGTTTAGGGTTTAGGGCTTAGGGTTTAGGGTTTCGGGGTTTAGAGTTTGCGGGAGATGTCTAGGGTTTTCAGAGGCCCACTCTTTAAATAAGGAATATACCTTAAATTATGGGGGCCTTAATTTTATGATTTACGGTATATTCCTTAATNNGGGGTATTGGGCTCTCTGGGGGGTCTTGGGAGGGTTTTGTTGGTAAGCTTTTTTGCGACAGGGCTGTTATACTGTAGGTTTTTGTATGTGGCTTTTGTAGGGCCTTGGGGCTCGGTATGGGGTTTAGGGTTCTGAGTTCGGGGGGGTGCGGGCTTTGGGCTTGGCGACTGTGCAGAGGACTGGTGTGCTTCGAAGTAGTTTTCTATTCATTGGGCTTGGCAGAGTCAGCTCCAGACTTGCTGGCAGTTTAGGGTTTAGGGGTTTA